GCGAAAGAACGAGCTGCCGAAGAAGGACTGGACAGTTATTCGTGTGAGGAGTTGAGGGGTATGTTCGGACGGTTGTGTACACGAATGGTGCATCGACTGAACGAGACTGAGATGCAGAACAACGAAATGAACATGCTCGCGAAACAGATTACACAGATGCAGAACACTCGAAGGTACATTGTTCAGTTTGATTGTTTCTTTCATTGAAGAGATTTTTCGGGTGAAAACAACGCTGTCCAAGATTGAATCGTTGTCGAAAGAAGTGCTGAAATGGTAATCGAGAAACTTTGATGTAAGAGATGAGTTGATGATAAGATATAAACGTGTGATTTTTGGACTTTGAATATAAATTTTCAATCAATTTGAATTGATTTTTCCATTTTGCTTTTGAAGACTTTCTTCTGAATAATGAAGTGGTTATAAATAGTACACTAATGGTTTTCATATTATGAGTGCAATGGTGAAATCTCAATAGGATTCAAGGGGATTGGAGCGATTTCAGGACATTGGAAGAACGTAAACGTCAGCTTGATGGACCGCCACCAGGTCCACCGCCCGCTCAAGGAGGAGGACCTCTGAAAGCGACGCAACACCAACAGCAACATCAACCCCCTCCGATGATGGATCATCGCCGAGATAGACGCGACATGGGCAGTAATATGCATATGGGCATGAATATGAATATGGGTATGAACATGAACATGAATATGAACAATAAGCCGACACCTTTATTGCGGTCGTATTCGCCGATTCGGAGATGGGAAGAGGGTCGAGAGAATCGACGCAATAAAATGATGATGCCACAGCAGTCTTCGAACCGACGGCGATACTCACCCGAGGACTCGAACAGGTCATCGAAACATTCGGAGAGTAAAGACGATAACAACAGGTACGATAGAGGCTCGTCGAAGCGTCGAAGCCCACTGCAACTCAAAATGACTCCCGTATCGCCAACGCCTCATCGTCAAGGTGGTGGCGGCACAGCGTCACCTCCTCCCCCCAAACAGTCAAAACCACCCAAAAAACCGATTGATGAAAGTGAATTGAGTGAAGGTGAAATTGTTAGTGATTGATTGATTTTTGTTGTATTTGTATAGTTGTAATTTAAGTGAAATTTGTTCCATTTCTGCATTCATAAGGTGAGGTGATCTGTAATTTTATTTTATTCATATGTAAAATTAAGTGTGCATTACTTGTGTACTTGTCTGAAAGAACTGTTA